GTCTGGTCTAGCCATGGCACAAGTTTTTATGCGCCTTTGATCGTGTACCTTGCATACTAAGCAATGAAAGAAAGTTCTACTTCCCTTACACTTTGTTACTGCGTATTTTGCTTCTTCGATCCTGGATCCTAAAGCCCACGGGCTACCCCTACTCAAGGACTGCCAAGCCCACGGGCTACCCCTACTCGAGGACTGTCGCCCGATGAGAATTTGAATGACCGGGATACCGAATCCCGGATGCACTAAACCAATTAGGCGGCGCCCAAATATAAAAGGCTATGGCCACCCTAAAAATGACTCGGAGACGTTCGAAGTCCGTAACCAGAAAGTAAGGCCCTTGCGAAAATTTGAAACCTACTAAATGGTTACCCTCGGCAAAAACATAATTTAAAAACACTTAAGCATCTTTAAAACCTTCGAGAAAATAAAACCAAAGTTGCATCGAAGTCGGGCTCCGTTCGAACCTCCAAAAAATGGATGCTCCAGAACTACATCTGATTTTATGCTAAGGCATCAAAAACAATACGCAAATAGAAATTGCAAGAAGATGCTGGAAAAGTAAAGAAACAGTGTTGCTAGAAAGGGAAAAAATTTATATACTCCAAAATATATTTACAAAGGCCCGATAGAATGATCTCAAAATAAACAAGAAAATACATAAGGAAAAACTGGAAATATACTAAGGCATCTACGCCTGGTATGCACCGGGGCCCGAGTCGTCGCCAGAACCGTCAGAGCCCTCGAATCCCTCGGAGCCTTCGGGACCCTCAGGCTCGTAGAGCTCCTTTGCCTCGGCCTCGAGCCTCCTAGATTCTTCAATCTCGGCTGATAGGTCAAAATCTCAGGCATGGATCTCTTCGAGGCTCTCTCTTCGGGATAGTTGCTTTATGTACTCAGTCTTTGTCTATAAGCGGGTCTCGGCTGCCTCCACATTGTCCTTGTACTAGGCCACCATTTCCTCGGCATCAGAAGAGGTTGCATCCAATTTGGACCTCAGTGCCGCATATTCTTGTCTGAGAGCATCGCGTTAGGTAACGGTCGAGCTCAGCTGTGCCCTGAGATCATCATTGAACCGAGATCACTTATCATCTTTGTCCTTCGCCACCCGAAGTTGGTTCTTGACTGATGCCAGTTCCACTTTCGTGACTTCCTTCTCCGAAGCCAGCAGGTCCATCTTGTCCTTCCACACTTCGGTCGTGGCCTTGACCTCGTCTATCTCATCCCGAAGTTGGTCGATCAGGTCTATCTTCTGTTGGACCTACAAAGTGTTGTTAGTCATCACGACTCGCTGCTCATTTTTAGCCTCAAAGATCTTTACCTTCTCAACCAGGTCGGCGTGTTCCCACTTCAAGGATGAGGCCTCCTTCTAAGCTTTTTCCATCTCGGCCTGGAGAATCGGGAGGTCTTTAAGGTCCTCATCCTACTGCACACTAAGAGCCCTGTACATGTCCTTCTTCCGGACCTGCTCTTTAAGCTCAAACTCACGTGGCTAGTAGAGGACATCAAAAAACCAAAGTGAGATTCACAAAGGGGTACAAAAGGGTTGATGCCCTACCCGGTTCAGCGCCTGTTGCACCTCATTGAAGAGGCTCGACATGCCCACTTCGTTTATCTTTTCCTAGTCCTTCTCGATCACCAGGAATCGAAGGTAGCTGGCTACGCCCACTGGAGCAGATAGGACCCGAGCATCCTCCGGGATTGTAAGAACGATCGTTCTCTTGCGCTCGGGGTCCACGCTTGGAGTAGGTAATTGCATCACTAGTTTTGGCTCGAACTTGGCCTGCATGCTTCCGAGGACACATACTTCTTTGGGATCTCCAGGTGACCATGCCAGGAAAAATCCTCCAGTGCGACCATATCCATACCGCTAAAGAACGTGTTGAGGGCGTCGTCTAAGCCCTGCGCCACCTCGCTTAACTTCTCTTTGCCCACTTGGGCCTCTTCGAGCATAGAATCAGTATAGGAGGGCGTCTCCGCAAGGTCAATGACACCAGTTGCCTCCTTCGAAATGGGGGCGGCTTCCTGGGAGGCTGCACCCTCTGTCTCTCTATCTGGTTCCCGAGTTAGAGGGGGATCAACCTCATGGTCCTCTTTCTCGATCATCGCCTACTCCCCCTAAGTAAGGGTCGACCCATGAGCGATGAAAAGGTCATCATCTTCGGGCTCATTTCTGAGCCGGTAGAGAGAATCGGGGTACGGTACCCTGGACTTGTTGTTCTTTTTGGGCTTTCGGACCCGAATGGTCACTTTCTTCTTCTTCGCCTCAGCGTCCGGGGAACCGAGGACTTTCTCTTCTTCTTCTTCCTCTTCTTCTTCTTCTTCTTTGCGGCGGCCCCGGGCTTCCCTAAAATGGAGGGTTTGGCAAGCGAGGACGGATCCTCGTCCTCATCCAACGGCCTAAATTTGGTGGTCTTAGGCAAACCTATAAGAAAAGAGAAAGAGTTCGCACTGTATAAGTTAAGAGCACGGTGATAACTATTCAGGAAAGAACCTCACCCCGAGAATGGACCTACCATTTGCCCTTCGAAATCTTGTGCCATGAGCACTCGGAGTACGGCATTTGCTTACAGATCCCCTCGATCCACTCCTTAAATCGAGGAATTGCATTGGGAACTTGGGCAACAACTGCACGACCAGAAACACAAGCAATAAGAGAAAGAATATAAAGAAAAGAATACTCAAAATAGACAATACTTAAGGGATGCATTCCACTCCTCGGAGAACGGCAAAACCTTGGGAGGGATCAGGTCTACGGTTTTCACCCGAACGAATATCCCCTGCCAGCCTCGGTCTCGATCCTCATCGATGCTCGAGAAAGGAGCCTTGCTTTCTCAGCGAACGAGCATGATCAGTCCCCCTCAAAAGATTCAGGGATTGTATAGGCGGAGTTAATAGTCGAGGGTGAACTAGGGGGCTTTAGTATTGTTCACGAAATGGCGTAAAAGGATCACGATCCTCCAAAAGGACGAGTGGATTTGCCTAAGGCACACCTCTTACCTTTTGCAGAAAGCAAGGAATATGGGGTCCATCGGGACAAGCACGAAGGGGTAAGTGTAAATACTCAAATATCCCTTCACGTGAGTAGTAATATCGTCATTGGGCCCGGGAACGACCATGTCCTTACCCTCCTATTTACATTCAGCTCGGACTATGGGTAGGGTTTCTTCAGTGATGTAGCATATGTATCTCCATGCTCCCTTGCCTCGGTCTTGTTGACTAAAGGCCTTCTCGACTTTGAAGTCGTCCCCCATAGAGCAGCCCTCGGATACGAAGCTCTTCATGGGAGGCTCCTGAGCCACTTCGGGAACAACCACCTCGGCATCTGCGACCGAGTGGAAAGATGAAGGGACAGCCTGTTGAGGCACTAACTTGGAGGTTTTCGCCATTATAGTCTGAGAAATATGAGGTCTGAAGTAGAGTATGAGGATTTGAAGAAACATATAAAGATTTGAAGATGGCATAAGGTATGAAGGTCTGGCTTGAAAGTTCAAAGAAAATGTATGATGATTGAAGATGAAGATATGAAGGCTCAGAGAACAATGTATGAAGACTTGTAAAAGTTGAAAACCGTTTGAAAGTTTGGGAGTAAAATCTATAGTCGGAATGTGGAAGAAATGGTTGAAGCTTTTATAGGGGAAAAACAACCAATGCGCGGCGTTTCGCATTCGAAGGCAGCCAGCAGGTGACTGACACGTGTTCGAATCCAGAACGACGCGACTGATGGGACGTTTCGCTTTACCCGTCATCTCAGTTGTAACGTACGAAGGAAGGAACCAGGGTTTATCTATCGTTTCCCATCGTTTCGGCAAACCTACTCTCCGGAAAATGGGGGGACTATCTGTATAGGCGTAAAATCGGGGATAATGCATACCCCGATTTCCCGGTGAAGAAAATGGAAGAAGGCACGGATGGACGAGGTTGAAATCGAGGCTTGGAGCCCTTCGTATCGAGATCCATGAAAGGTGAACGATGTGTTCATCATCGGGCGTGATAAAGCAGCGGTCCCCGAATCCAGAACGAGTTCTAAGACCCCGGAAAATATGGTAAATGGTTACGCACGACGGATAGAGGGACGTGATATCCGTATCTAACCAGATATCACGGCGTATATCTCGCTTGATGTCGTTTACAGATTAGTAATTAATGAGAAAGAAAGATTTTTATCCTTTTTAGACTTGTACTAGGGATGAAACTCTCCTACTATATAAAGGGGAAGTTTTTCTTTTGTAACACCCGAATCAAAGCAATGAAAATTCATTTTCTGCTTTCTAGCTACTGCAAAAGTTTAATCAAATGTTCTGTTCTTCATTCACAATTGGGCTCGAACCAATGGTCCAAGCGAGGGCAAAGTTACTGTTTAACCTAGGTTCGGGCTAGGCCATAATATTACAACTGGATTGATCATTTATTTTGTCTTTAACTCATTTATCTAATATTTTTGGTTATTTATGTTAAATTAATTCACGTATCCTTAAAATCGCGTACAAATTTGATTGTTATCCGATTTAAGGGTAAACAGCTTTCTCTAACCACAAATTGAATATTGAGAAAAATCATTATTTCACTTGTAATATTGCTCCAACAATTATTCTTTATTAAGTAACATTTTACTGGTATTTAAAATACTGAAATCCAGTGACACTGAAACACTGCAACTATGAGAAATCGAAAGTGTGACTAAACTGTAAATGTGTATTCTATAATCCTAATTCCTAGGGGCCTTTCCACCTACTGTACTTCAATTTAACAGCAAGGCAGAGTATACGCCAGCCTCATGATTAGCCCGTGATTAGAAGCAACCTAATCACCGTTCCCCAAAATGCCAGCTCAGAAATTAAAATATTACTCCATCAGAAGAAAAAGAAACGCAATCGAACGCCAACCGATTTCTTGAAGCGGTAGAAAATGTAATCCGAGTTTCAAAAATAAAAAGTCATTGTTAGTTACATATACATTAACAAAGCTGTGTGTGTATATATATATATATATATATATATATATATATATATCCGTCCATTATCCAACCATCTTCTAACACCACAGAAACACTTCCAAACGCTGTTGTTGTTTGGCTCAGGAAAATTCTCTGACTCCGTCGTTGCTTTAGTCCATCCGTTTTCTGCAACTCAGTCTTTGGATTTTCTAGATCTAAGGTGAATCCTGCTACTCATTCTTTAATTTGAGTTTTCTTCTGGATCTCGATTTCCATTTTTAATTTCTATATTTCAACGCCTCATCTCTGTCTTCCTCTGTTATTATGTTTAATTTGATAATGTAGTTTCTCTAATTAATGGCATATTTCTGTTAGAATTGCATGAAGCTTTACTCGTTGGATCTGATGCGTGAGGCTCTTGTGTTGAAATTCTGCCTTATTATTTTAGCAGGAGTTCGATATATCAGGATGAAGGCGCTTATTCTTGTTGGAGGGTACGGTACTCGGTTGAGGCCATTGACGCTCAGTGTCCCAAAGCCATTAGTTGAATTTGCCAACAAACCCATGATTTTGCATCAGGTACTTTTCCACAATAACCTCTAGTTTCATTAATATTGATGAATCTAGATATTCTTATTCAATTTACAATCCTATTCCTCCAAATATGCGTATTTTATTAATCCTGTTTTTGTGAAATATATTTGGTTGTTGGATTGTTATTACTACAAACTACTTGTTCTGGTTTGGAATTGTATCAGACAATTTGACTTGTCTTATTGCTCTAGCTAAGTATATCATCAAATTTGTTATATTTGTGTTATAGTTAAGCCTCTCATTGCTATAGAATCCTTAAATATGTGTTATTTTCAGAATTTATTGTACTGAGCTTTCCCCCTGCATCTGTTCTATTATGATCCCAAAAAGTGAAGTAAAATAGAAGCAAGCAAAGCATATGTAGTACAATGATCTTTGTTAGTCAATAATATTTTGTGGTTAAACGATTCTTCTTGACTTAAGCTTTTTTCTTCAGATTGAGGCTCTCAAGGCAGTCGGAGTAACTGAAGTTGTACTGGCTATTAGTTACCAACCTGAGGTCATTTTCTTACCCCTTACAAATTTGTTATATTCCAAGTCTTGATAGTTTTAAACTTAACAGAATAGAAGCGTCTTTTGGTGCAGGAGATGCTGAACTTCTTGAAAGAATTTGAGGCAAACCTTGGAATCAAGATCACCTGTTCTCAAGAAACTGAACCACTTGGCACTGCAGGTCCCCTTGCTTTGGCTAGAGATAAGCTGATTGATGACTCCGGTGAACCTTTTTTTGTTCTTAATAGTGATGTTATCAGTGAATATCCTTTCAAGGAGATGATTGCTTTCCACAAATCCCATGGAGGTGAGGCTTCCTTGATGGTCACCAAGGTAAAATTCCTAGCTTTAATTCTGTTGGAATTAAACTTAATTTTGGATATTCCAACATCTCTGAGGCAAAAGGTAAAAGTTCTCCGGTTGATGTAGGTGGATGAGCCTTCTAAATATGGTGTTGTCGTCATGGAAGAATCGACAGGGCAAGTAGAGAGATTTGTAGAGAAGCCAAAGTTATTTGTTGGCAACAAGATCAATGCTGGATTTTACCTGCTGAATCCTTCTGTCCTCGACAGAATTCAATTACGGCCAACATCAATCGAGAAAGAGGTTTTCCCAAAAATTGCAGCAGAGAAGAAACTGTATGCTATGGTCTTACCAGGTTTCTGGATGGACATTGGTCAGCCAAGAGATTACATTACTGGCCTCAGACTCTACCTGGACTCTTTAAAGAAGAATTCTTCACCTAAATTGGCTTCAGGATCTCACATTGTTGGAAATGTCATAGTGGATGAGTCTGCAAAGATTGGAGAGGGTTGTTTGATAGGACCAGATGTTGCAATTGGTTCTGGTTGTGTTATTGAGTCTGGAGTTAGACTCTCCAGCTGCACTGTGATGCGAGGAGTCCGCATCAAGAAACATGCCTGCATCTCAAGTAGCATCATTGGCTGGCATTCTACAGTTGGACAATGGGCTCGTGTCGAAAACATGACCATTCTTGGAGAAGATGTCCATGTTTGTGATGAAATTTACAGCAATGGAGGTGTAGTTTTGCCCCACAAGGAGATCAAATCTAGCATATTGAAACCTGAAATAGTGATGTGAGAATATGATTGTTAGCACTAGGGAGATATTATGTATTCACCTTCTTTCAAATGTGTTTTTCCTTTGCTATTCCTTTTTTGGTTGCTTTCCAGTTTCCTATTCTTCAAGTATATAAGTCAGTACTGGTAATTGAGCGATGCAAACTTTTGTGCTGAATTGTTGCTTTCTTATGAAAGGTATGATGTAGAGATTAGGAAATGAGTAATTTAGTTTTGTGTACATAGAAATAAAAGTTCTCCTTATGGTTTTCTATACTTGTTTGGACTAATCATGTACAGCTTGTTACTTCTCGTTCTTTTATTTTCCCTCTATTTCTAACTCTACGAGGCTTCAAATAAGGGTGTGTTTTATTGCCCATCTACTTGCACAATAACAATAATTATGTACATACTATATGCATCCTCTCTAATCATCAATAGGAAATAATTATGCTTTAAAGAATATTATCTCCACAATTTTTTAATAGTCCTGTTTGTATCTAGCATGCGTCGGTGATCTTCTCAGTTAGGACACGATGAGATCTAGGCAAGATAAAAATAAAAGAGGGAGGGCCAATTGACAGCTCGATTTTGCTGTTCCACCAACTCGTAAAGAAAAAGAAAAGGAAATAGCATCTCGTGCCTGTAATTTTTTATTAATAGTCAAGAAATTGGAGCATAAAATAGTTATTTGGTCCCACATTGATCTTCTTTTAAGTAAAATCCTTGCTAGGAACTAGGTCAATGCGGGACAAACCCCTTCCACGAAGAAATATTGATTTTGTTCGTAACGACCCGATCAATCGTTTGAGTTCTAGAATCTCATTCTCTTATTTAAGACTTCCGGGATGTTGGTGTCACGCCCGGAACCTGGGGGATGAGACCGGCCCCCGGTACCTTACTCAACCGAGTACCAACTAACGTGTCTCTCGTATCATACTTTTATAGGTAAATGAGCCGGAGAGGCTGTCGTGAGATAAGTAGAATGAACATGAGAGAATACTTGACATAGACAACCCAACCTGATATAAAAACTTACATACGTGACATACGGGCCTATAAGGCCAACATGATCATTTGTAAACTCAAAACATAGGCCGACAAGGACATATAAGTATCCGTATACATGACATCTATCTACAAGCCTCTAAGAGTACATAAGTATTACAAAGGTCAGGACTGCGCCCCGCCATACCAATCAATACATGTCCTAATTATACTAACCAAATAAGCAACTCCGGAGCAAATGGAGCGCACCAACACCTTCCTCTGAGCTGCTAGCCTACTTGGAGGACTCTCAACCTATCTATCGGAACCTGCGGGCATGAAACGCAGCGTCCCCAGGCAAAAGGGACGTTAGTACAAATAATGTACCGAGTATGTAAAGAATAAGAATCAGTACACAATAGACATTGAGAGAAACATGGAGTAAAAGACTCAACATGTAAGTCTGAATAACTCTGTAAATCTTGAAATACTTATAGTGTCGTGCATATGCGTATGAATGTCATGTCGTGCATAGGTACATGTGATCATAACATCATTAAGCCTCTGAGGGCATCCTATCATATCATCTCGGCCATTGTGGGCAAATCATCAACGTATACCAGCTGATCAGGTGGTGGTGCGTATATAACGTCGTAACCTTTTTTCATATCCCATATACATATAATATACATATGTACGCGTATATAACGTCATCTGGTCATGGGTCAATGTACATGTATAAATGAATGCAATGCATGAGAAGTACATCAATAAAATCTCTCGGAATGTTACAAGACCATTATGCCTTTGAGTAATATCACGAAGTAAACTTTTTTTCAACTTATATATTTTTCTGAGACCCATGAAAAGAAGATGTAATAATTAGACACATGGGAATTCAAGAACATAGGCACCTCTAGTACTTCTATGAATAGAGTCATTTATGGAAGTTGTGCATTTGCTCATTTCGTTTGTGTCGTATAGATCATGCCAAAAGGAAAGAAGGGATAGCCTTAACATACCTAAGCCGATTCTCTTGACAATCCCTCTAACACTCGTTAATTGCGACAACACATAACGGTGGACCGAAGTAGGGGAAAATCCGTATGATATTCTTGAGAAAGATTGTACCGTGCTTCCTTAGAATTGCATCTCACGCTGTTGTAGCGCTATGAAATTTCATATGAATTCATTCGTTACTTAGCACATACATCTCTTATAATTGTGGTGTTATCCAACCTAATTCTTTGAAAATAACGTATGAATGTTGCAGGATTTGATCAGACACCACACATGAATGATTGAATGTGAACTGGATTTCGGTAATCAAATTGGGATATAGAGCTAGGATGATTGTATTTCCAAGCACTATTCCAATTAATTCCTCAACCAAAAAGAGACAAACAACTTGGAATTAATATCGAATTATCTTGACACTTTAAAGGAAGCAATCATGAGCTTATGCAATTCTGTTGAAATGGAAGGTTGTTGACGAGAATCCTTGTTTGACCATTTAATAACAACATTTGGAAGGAAAATTAACCCCCAGGAAAGGAAAAGCTACTCTTATCATAGTGGTTGTGGGCCCCGCCAAAAAATTCTTAATGTGACACATATTATAAATGACTAATGAGTCATTTGGTTGCATGGCACATACTGCCACGTTTGCACACTTAAACTTATCCAAATTTTATCCACTAATTTTCGTAATTACATGATTAATCTCCCACCAAAAATTCACAATTAACCAAATATCTACATAATTAAGAATTATCTCAAATTAATTAAAATACTACTCACTTTTATTACAGTTTATACATTTTACTATCATGGTCATGTGGCACCTTGTATGACACTAGTCCATAAATATCAGGTATTTTAGCTCGGGCCGTATTTTATCTCAAAATGACAAACTTCAACGAAATTCATTTTCTTCGATTCTCTTACCCTCTCACCTTCACGAATTAACTTATCACTTTTTTGAAATAGCGAAATACTTATAATCCCAAAATAAATCTCATTCTCGAACTTATGTCGATTAACTTACGACGAAACTTTAACGTACGAAAATGCAGAATGTAACATCTCATTGTCAAGCTTATATCAATTTAATTATGACGTACTTCCACGTACGAAATTATGGGGTGTAACAGTTGGTTTGATAATTTATGACTTGTGGGAAGAGTAATTTAGTTTTCGAGAGATTTGGGAGTTATTTGGAACACATAGTTCCTAAATTGAAGCTAAAATCCTTGCTAGGAACTAGGTCAATATGGGATAAACCCCTTCCACGAAGAAATATTGATTTTGTTCGTAATGACCTGACCAGTCTTTTGGAGCTCTAGAACCCCATTTCCTTATTTTAGACTTCTGGTAGGTTGGTTTGATAATTTATGACTTGTCGGGATGAGTGGTTTGGTTTCCGAGAGGTGTGGGAGTGATTTGGAACACTTAGTTCCTAAGTTGAAGCTTAAAGTTGGAAGAGTAGACCAAAATTAACATTGTGGGTTAACCATCCCGGATTGGTATATTGACGGTTCTACTGGGTTCATATGATAATTTTGGACTTGTTCATATGTTCGGTTTGGTCTCGGGTGGCGCGGGGTTGATTCATCGCTTCTAGTCGAAAGCTTGAATTTTGAACTTCAGAGAATTTGAGATTCTTAGTTTGATGTGTGTTTCTTGGTTTTGATATTGTTTTTGGTATTTTGAGCATTTGGACAAGTTTTTATAAGGTATATAGACTTGTTAGGATGATTGGACAGAGTCCCGAAGGGCTTATGTGAGTTTTAGGGTGTTCTCGGATCACTTTGAGCTAAGATTGGATTGCTGATTTTCTAATGCAGGGGTGTGAATTATGATCACGGGGCATGTGCCTGCGAAGGAAGGCTTTGTTCCTCATGAGCGCGTGGGAAGGTCCACGATCGCATAGTGTTGGCTGGCGAAGCACTGCGATCACGTGAAGATTTCCACGATCACGTAGGAGGATTCTAGGGCTAGGTGTTGCTCTTCGCGATCACGTAGCTTGAGGTAGCCGGTGAATTGCGTTTGCAAGGGGCATGTCGCGTTCGCAATTAAGGATTTCGGACCAGGGGTATATAATGCCAAATTTCGAAATTTACCTTATTTTTTACTATTTTTGAGAACTAGACTTGGGAGGAGGTGACTTTTGAGGAGATTTTCACTCCAAGTTGTAAGTAATTCTTACTTGGTTTTGATTATATATCTTGATTTTCCATGAATTTCTATACCTAAAATATGAAATTTAAGAGTGAAATTTACGGGTTTTGTTTATAACTTAAGAAATGTATTTTGAGGTTTTGAACACCTATTTGAACTTGAATTTAAAACTAATCACATATTTGAACTCGTGAGATTATGGGTCAAAGAGTTTTGACTTTGGACTCGGGTTTTGACCATGAGAGACTAGGTTGACTTTTGTTGACTTTTAGAATTTGATTAAAAATTGAAGTTTTATTGTTTGAAATTGATTTCTATGACTTTATTGGACCCCGTTAAGTATTATTCGGTTAGATTTTAGTCACTTATGGAGAATTACAAAGAAAAGAGGCATTTGAGGGTTGAAGCAGTTCTACGAGGAGGTGAGTCTCTTGTCTAACCTCGTTTAGGGAGAATTTTCTACAAATCGGACTCATGTGCTACATGCTACATGATTTAGGGTGACGTATATATGATGTGACGAGCGTACATACATACACTAAGGCTATACTATATTTGGCTAGTTTTAGGCTGCTTTTTGCCTTGTTTGATTGTTGTCATTCTTGACTTATGCTTTATTTGATTGTATGTTAAGTGAGCTCTATTATCATACTAAAATATTTTAGCTTATGACATCATATTCGGGCATGATGGGTTATTCTTGAGATTGTTGATATACTTGATTTAGCCGTAGTCATACTCTATATCATGAGCATGCATCTGTATTTTTATTTATTATGTCCATGTATATTTTATTTGTAATTTCTTGAATATATACATACATTCTTAGAGATGGTCATGTTGATACAAATTGATATGATTATGGCACATTTGTACATTTGAGCAGATTGATATTGTTATGGCACAATGGATATTTTCGTGCGGTTATTGTGATATTGATATGTTATGGCACGATGGATCTTCATACGGCGTGTGGGTATGGATTTGTCCCTCCGGAGTCAGGTGATTACCCATACTACATGGGCCCTGTGAGCATAGGTGATATGCGTATCGCGTTGAGCACGTGGAACGTGCTGGATTATGTTGGGGAACATGAGAGATACTGGATT